GTATGAAAAAAGTGTCCGACTGTCCCGTTAGTGGATATAGTTACCCTAACCCCAAATCCGGACACCCTGGGAGAATGTTTCACAGTAGCTTGGGTATAGTGTTCATCGTATCTTGCGCCACCAACCCTACGGGCAAACTGCTAGACAGTGGAATCATCCGAGAAAAGGACTTTTTCCGACTTCGCTTCGTCCCAGTTCTCTTACTTCTTATCAAAGGCTTGGCTTTCATGGCTTCGATTAAGCGAGGTTTTTAGTATGTTTACAAGCTTTCAACTTGAACAGGGGTCCTACTAACAGTCGAACGATGAATATAGTGGAAATATAAGACTATGATGTGGACTCATACATAGAACAGAAAAGTGTTTCCGCTTTATTCCTAACAGATAGGTTATTTGAAATCAGGTCTACTAAACGATCGCCATTTGACCGAAGGAAAGCATAAGAGGAAGTAAATGAAAGTGTTTGGGGTCAAGTGGCAAAAAATCCGGACATTGATGATTTCCAGTTGATGGTCTATAGTAACAGTCGGTGATCAAGGACGTGAGTTCCGGTCTTCCCTTGGCGTTTGGGAGGACATGTCTATCAATGCCACCTTTTTGGTGCTGTCAGCCGCGTATCGTGATAGTGAGGTGAGCAGAGAGGTAGAATGGAAGACTTGTGCTCTAAAACAGAAAGAGGAGTAATAACACCAAATGTCACCTACCTTGCCACAATGGCTGCGAATTGGATTCCTTGAATAAAACACCTAATTTGCATAGTGTGGATTCTCATTTCTCAACTTGGTGTTTGCTTTCATCTTTCCCTTTTTTGTGAACGTGCAACGAAAATTTCCCAGGTTTTGGTGCACACCGACGCGAACGAGAGTGCAGACGCAACGCGGGGTCGTCACTGACCAGTCACTGAGAAGGGTGACGTTCCTGTTGAATGTTTTCAAGGACATTTAATAACTAAAAACGAAGAATTTGCGGAGTTGTTTCCTTGTTTTGGTGTGAGGAACCCTTCCCAAAATTTTTAAAGGCATTTTTAATACATCCTAAATATTCCGTGGTGGAACTCAACTGAGATTCTCTGTAACCATAGGACTGTGCCCCCTGGAGCCACGACTACTCTCACCAAGTCGCTCAAACATGAGCATTAGAAGCCGGTTCAAGCAATGATATACAAATGATGAAAATTATTAGGAGGATTTGATAATTAAGTAATTCATCGAGACTGAAACCTCAACAGAATGCAGAAACCACTGGGCCGCCGTTTCGTCCTACATTTGAGACTCATCAGCAGTGCGCATCCACTACCGAGAATTGAAACCCTGACAGTTAGGTTGTCAAGCAAACATCATACCAACTGTTCTAACTGGCCTCGGACGAAGAGATAGCAAATCAGACTCAATATAGCGCCGCTCGCTCACATATTCTCTATAACCATAGGACTGTACCCCCAGGAGCCACGACTACTATCACCAAGCCGCTCAAACTTGAGCATTAGAAGCCCGTTCAAACAATGATATACAAGTGATAGAAATTATTTGGAGGATTTGATAATTATAATTAAGTAATTCATATTATATACACGGACGAAACAACAATGATAGTCCGCCCTTGCTGCATAAAAAAATGTCAAAGCAACGACAAACCGTGTATACGAGACGCGGAAGCGAAAATCGCGTCGCAGCTCGTAACGTCACACATGACCCCGCGAGAGTGAAAATACGAAATATTAAGTATGGGAAGCCATTCGTATAAAACAATGTCTTCTGTTATAAATTATAAGCATTTAAGGACATTTGTGGAGATTTCATAGTTTGTTCTGTTCAGGTTAGGTTTCAACTGTTTTATGAATGTTCAAGAATGTTTAGTTTTTGTTTATTGTTTTCACGTTAGTTGTGTTTTCAACAAGGATTTTCCGGAATTGTGTATGCGGCCAGGCATGTTGTTTTAAATGCCTAAAAATGTTAGAGTTATCATTTAAATGTAGCGTCAAGCGTCGTGAATGCGAGTTTGTGGTGCGACCAACATAAATATTATTTAATCCATTGGAGATACAATCTACCAAAGGGCACTTGAATTTGTAAACTATGTTGTTTTTTTTTTTTTTTTGCAAATAGCTATATATGCATGTATGTATATATATGTGTATATAGTAATGAAACAATATCTTAAGCTGTATGGAATTTCCAGGAGGATGTAGATCCAAAGAGGGCTCTATGTCAAAAGACAGAGCAAAATGATTATTAAGGAATATCAAAGACTTAAAATCCAATAAGTAATAATTTGTATTTCATAAAAGCTCTAAATAGGAACTCTCGATATTTTAGGCCAACAAACAAATCACAAATGAAATGGAAAAAATACTTAAAATCAAGAGATATTGTTATCTTATTTAGAGAGTGGAAAAAGACAGAGAGTGTTGACCTATTTTGATATACTAACCTCAGATTTAACATCAGTATGCCATTTGAGGAAGGTGAAAGAGCATAAAGTTTAGTTACACACCCTATATATATATATATATATATATATATATATATATATATATATATATATATATGCTTGTTACTTAGTGGAAAGTGCTCAATATCTGTGATAGAGCTAACATATTGAGTTTTAGGGATATCAGTTTGTAACCTTGCGATGTTACAATTTTCGAATAAATTATATTTGCTCTATTCTGTATTGAGCACTCTTTTAAGAATGAAACTATCCAGTCTTGCTCTGTCAAGGGACAAAATTCCAATGCTGATATACTTCATTCAACAAATTATTTGTAAATAATATTAAAAAAAGAACATTTTTAAAGATTTTGAAAAAAACTTTCTTAAGCTTTTTATATAATTAATCAAGAAATTTAAATTAAAATGCTTGAGATTTGAATTAAATATCTATTATATTCAGAAAAAACCTTATTTATAAAGGTTATATAACTAGAGTCCTGAACTTTTATATCCTAGATGTATTTATTAATATTTAGCAGGATTTGAATGTATATTACCTATGGGATTTTAAGTGTTTGATATTCTTTATATATATATATATATATATATATATATATATATAATTAATTTTAAAAAAATATGATTCCTTCGCTACATAAGAGTTCTCATGTTTCAAAAACAAAAAAAAGGTTAACAAAGGAATGCTACATCACTCTTACGAAAGTAACTGATATGTTGATGCAAATTGTTAACCCTTACGCCCGTTATTTAAATAATTGCTCTAGCTGTTTCCATAGTAATTAACTTTACGATTGAATATTCTCATAAACACACGTAAATTTCAAGATTAGTTATTCCAAAAATTTCGCTTGAGGATAAAACAGCTCGATTCTTTAAATCAATTTAATTTTAATAATTATATTGAAGTTTTTGGCTCCTGATTTTGAAACATGAGAAAGAATCATTTTTTTTTTAAATAATTATAATTTAGGCTATACTTTTGTATCGAGAACTGTTTTTTTTTAAACAAAAAATACTTAAGAACTTCGGATTATTTACCTAACGAGTTCCTTCCTATTTTTCTATATGTTTGCATATATATATATATATATATATATATATATATATATATATATACCTGTGTGTTTAGATAAATAGAGAGAGAGTATGACAGAGAGATAGATAGAGACTGGGGAAGGAGAGATAGCTATATCTGCCAGAGGATTTTACTGATATATTGCCGACCTTGCGAATATTAATTTCGAATTTTCATGTTGTACCATTTGTACTGATTTCGGACCAGGCGCCAGGCCGAAAAAACGTCATCATTATATAAGATAGATACGAAACATCATTATTTGCTGAATTCTTTATTAAGCAGAATGATCACTTGTCTGCGGTTTTTAATCAAGTTAGAATTAGCGAAGAAATACTACTGACACACACACACACATCTCTCTCTCTCTCTCTCTCTCTATATATATATATATATATATATATATATATATATACTTTGTGTATATGCTTATTGCTAAGGATTAGGTTGAAAGATCATATCTTGACAGATCAATTAACGTCAATTTCACGTGAAATCCTGAAGATCTCTTCTCGTTTTCAGACGAGAATTTCATATGAGAATTGCTACGCAAAGTCTCGGCGAATGTGATTCTGTGAAAACAAACCGTAACTAATACGTTCCACCCCTTACAATCGAATATTCTTTTGATTGTTTACATAGATAGATAGATAGATAGATAGATAGATAGATAGATAGAATCACTAGCTTCTCGTCTCCGTGTAAATCTGTCTGTCTATTTGCTAGGTTGTCTAGGATATATATATATATATATATATATATATATATATATATATATATATTATCCCCCACCGCTATCACGACTCTGTGTTTCATGCACGACATAATCATCAGTTGCTGAGTATATGTGCGATATATATATATATATATATATATAATTATTTATTTAAAAATATGATTCCAAATCGCTTCCCATAAGAGGTCTCATGTTTCAAAACAAGAGCCGAAAAAACTTCAATATAATCCTTTAAATTAAATTGAGTTGAAATTAAAAAGGGCTCCGTTCCATCTTCAAGCGAAATTTTGTTGGAATAACGTATATCTGAAATTTACTTGTTTTAAAAAATTGAACTCAAAAATCACCATGGTAACAGCTAGGGCGAATTGTCTAAAATGGGTAGGCGAGTGTAGGGTGTTAATAATAAGTAGCGGTATAGAGATACTTTTAAGGTGTCAAGTCGGGGGAAGGTGAGGGTGTCAAAAATGAAACGGAGATGTATTAAGCTTTCGTCAAGTTGGCTTGTCTATGGAGATTTATTTATTTATTTTATTTTATTTTATTATGAAAGGGAATTGTGCATATAAAAAGAAAGACTATATATATATAATAAAAAGGCTTAAACAGTAATATTCCATGGTTATAATAATAATAATAATAATAGTTACGATCCAATTCATTCGACGTACACATAACTCCGGGAATAAAAAATAAAATTTAGTGAGAGTGTATGAATGAATGAGAGTGGGGGGAGG